TTATGATTTTCTTAGACCCCTTTATTTCCATCATTAACACTGGCAATTAGGGTTCTTTAGGGGACTGTTTTTTAACACCCCCAAGAAGGTTTTTTCCCCAATATTTACAGTAGAGGTGATGTTGAAGCTTTTTTGGATGTGGATTCTGAGCACACTCCCTAGCTAAACATCTCATGCTTGTACATCAGAGCACGTTGGTCAATGAGTGTCTCACCAAAGAACAGATTATTTTATGCCGTGGACCTTCAAGGATGCTCTCACATAGGTGGATGTTGAATTTGAGATTGCTGGCATATGTTCCATGTAATGCAACCAGGCCTGTACGGTAGGTGCTCAGCAAATGAATATCGACATCAGCATGAATGAACATTAGCATGTTCTTACCTTACTTCTGTAATGCCTTGGAAAACAAGTGTTTATCCTGTAAAGCAAGTGCTTGCATGTTCTTGCTTCAAGAAATGCTTCATAGATAGCATTTCTGAATATGACATAGTTCTACTACTTCTCATCAAAAACAACCCAGATAGCTTCTGTAGACTATTAGCTGCACTGGCTCTACCTCCCTATGTCCAAAGGCAGTTTTCAGTTACAGAAAAGATCCCAAACATTAGTCTGAATCTCTTTTTGAGAGATCTTGCTACAAACAATTGGGCATAATCATTGTCTTGCTAAGAAGATAGATAAATCAAGGTAAGATTTTTTATTTTTTATTTTTTTTATTTTTTGTCTTTTTTCGTGTCTGGCAACGGATCGCAACCCTCAGTGTTGCGCCCGTACNTTTTTTTTTTTAATTTGGCTGCTAGCCACTACAGGGATCCAAACCCTTGAATATCCTGACGTTATTTTAAAATTGATGAAGAAATCCTTGATTTTCCTCCTCTTCCCTGCACACATGGATAAACATCACATGTTAACATCATTAAGCATATTAAAAGTGGAGTAACAACCTTATACTAAAATATGAACTAACTGCATGATTTCTTATATATTTATATCATGCTTTTCTTCCTAAAAATTTAAAGCAGCCTAAGTCAACTATGTGTTATTAGTGTGGCCTGCTGAACCCAAATCTGCAAGTAACCATAGTCGAATTAAAATCATTCAGGCAATAAACAAGTAGAATTGAATACAAATAGAAAGCAGTGCTAATTTTTCAGGCGTCAGATAACCAGAACCTGGCGAGCAAATGCTGTTTGCCATCTCATGTCATGTGCTGCAGTACTCAAATGACTTTATTAAAGACATCACTTGAGTGGGATTTTTACTTGTATATCCTTCCATAGATGTGTTCTTAAATACTAAGAGCATTATATGCTGAAAGCATCATAAAGACGCCAGGCTTATGCTATTTCTAAAATACTATGTTTTGGTTACCCATCTAGAGTTTAATATACCTTAATTAGTGCACTGTTGACGTTTTCAAGGACTATATCTCAAGACCTGCATGTCTCCACAAACTGCAAATAGCACTACAACATATAAATTTCACCATGAAGGGGAAAAAGATTGTGCTCACTGTAGTGTTCTCTGAAATTTTCGTAGATTGCTTTCTTTGTTTCAGTATGGGGAGTGTGATAGACTTATTCACGTCCTACATTTGGGCACTGCCAAATTCCACGTGTAAGTCGTTATGATTTTCTTAGACCCCTTTATTTCCATCATTAACACTGGCAATTAGGGTTCTTTAGG